GGTTAGTGTGTCCAAGATCAACAGCAAACCTTCATGCTCATAATACCTGCATCTACAAACAGTCATGCTCTAATACCAAAGGTCAGCATTCATGCACTGAAACTCCCCAGCCGACAATCATGCTACCGTTCTGCGCACCTAATATTCATGCTCCGAAACTGTGAAGTCAACCGTCATTCTCCTACAAGTACATATAGGTAGTTACACACAGGCAGAATTCTTGCTACAGAACTGCACAGTCGACAATCAAGCTCTTCTAGGCCCAGTCAACTTTATTATTTAATTTTGTGAAGTAGCTTATACATTGTATACAATAGAGTAGAGGGCTTGTCCGAAAGTGGTAACACTCATACATTACTATCCTAACAATTCTTGCTCCGTTACTCAAACAACACATCTACACATACAGGTTAAGATACAATACACACACAGTAGTGACACAAGCAAATCCTTTTCTGCCGTTACGCAGAGTATCGTGTTAGAAAATTGGGCAGAACTGCCCGTTTGCCATGCGATGTAAAATAAATAAACAACAACAACAACAACAACAACAAAACACTCATCAAACAGTATGATATTAGACAAGTTTGTATATGCTCCGATACATAGTCATCAGTTTTACTCCATTGTACACGCCACTGTACATCTAACATTCATGCTCCGATAATCACAACCAACATTCATACCGTCATACCCAAACTGCAAGCATCCATGCTCTGATATAGGCACAGAAAACATTGCAGCTCCAAGCCTGCCTGCAAGCACTCCCATTGCAAGTCACACAGTCACTGTCCCCATCATGTTCTACAGGTCACTGTAAGTGACAAAGACTGGCACAACACAATCATAATACATCAGTATACAATACACAGTCGTAGCCACTGCGGACAACAGTCATCAGTATACAATACACAGTCGTAGCCACTGCCCACATCATGTCAGGAGAAGAACGACATAGATGGGTAGATTGGTTTGCATTTTTCATTCTCTATTTTTACACAAGAGAGAGTGGACCGTATGCGTGTTAAAACAAAATGGCGTCACGATTTATTGAAAGTGGTATAGTTGGTGGAACGAGTGTTCAAACCCATTTGAACTTCATACTGTTCGTCTTCTTTTTGACATGCTCTCTTTCCATCGTCCTTAGCTTTTGTTTGTTGAGAGCTGTTTTGGCTTTCTCCTACACCTCTGGGGGATGCCAAGTGATGGTTTTGAGAGGCTGGTGATGGCTGTGAGCGAGAGTTTGCCGATCGGCGTCGTCCTCGCTATAGCGATGAAAATACTAGTTACTGCGCACCTGGCAGATATCACAACACGTCGGAGCGTCCAGGAGCAAAGGAATCTTGGGTTTTCACTGGAATCTAGTTCCACCAGCATCGTGTAGCCCACCGTCGGTGAATGGCGGTCCAGAAAGGTCGAAACTGGTCTTCTGCAGCATCTCGCAGTCCTGCGAGGCACACTGAATACGCCTGTCATGTATTCTACTAATAAAAATCACGAAGTAGTGGACTTTACAGTGATGAGTCTATCCTGTATGCTGCAAAAGACGCAGGAAATGTGACTGGTGTCCGTACACTGGACGCCAATATCATCCCAGTCTTCTCCTGCAGGATCTGTTTGACATTGACATACCGGTATGCAGTGGGTCGACATTGGCCTGGTTTGGCAGCTATCTGCCTGGGTGGATGTAGCAGGTTTGCATTGGCGCGTCGTCCAGTCCGACATTTTCTTGTAACTGTGGAGTACCGGCAGGGTCTGAGAGGTTGCTCGTGCTGTGAACACATCTCTACTGCCTGTCTCGTCCTGGAAGTGCCGTCTCGCCGCTTCCTTGCTCTACAGTCACGCCGTTATTTCGCTTTGTTTCGTGGTGCAGCTCAAAACCTGCCCAAACAACTGTGAGCTCGCAACATGGTATGGACAAATTGCACCACTCATGCTGGTTAACTAAAACCGGGATAGTCGAGTAAGCGAGTTCACTCCCTGGGCCATGGCAAGATCTGTTCAGCGCGGGCTATTCCAACCTCCAAGTGCATAGTCACCGATCGATCCATGCGATGGTGGTTGACCTACAAAGAGCCAAGGTCTACGAGTACTACTATTGGATGCTGTCTACATGCAGTCAACAAAATCAAAGTACCTCAGTATGCCCCAGAACAGGGCATGTGCATCTATAGCATGACACAACAGGGGTTCTGGCGGCACCTGTCAAACAAGCAGTAGGACTAGTGCCAGCTACCTATTGGAGGCTAGCCGCTACAGTCTGTCACTGGAGATAATTATTATGTTCACTGTTTAGACTGAGCACAATCAATGATGCCCAATCAATCTGCCCAATGTGTGTTCTGTTCCACCTAATTATAACGTCCCATCGCATCAACCCTACTACACGCACATGTCGTCACTCTAGCACGACTTGTGTTATTATTGTTTATTTTGATTCGCACGATAAATAGAGCACAATAAACGTTAACTTGACCGAAGGTTAAAGGCGACTGCAGATAGAGGAACACATCGAGGTACAGGTGCCGGCATCAATACAGTATCAGAGAGGTACGCAGAAAAAACTCTCGTAAGCCCAAGGGGAAGTGGTTGATGAGGGATGAATGTACTCTCCACGCTCGTCTACACTGTTCGTGGAAATGCACACATACATACAATAATATACAACAGCAATAGCATGCACAGAACCGAACAATTTCATGTTCACACATGCAAGCACAGACCTGAACATTAGTACCAAAAGCCGATACAGACAATATCCCCATACACACAGACGCACACACACACAATGTCCCATGTATGCGCCCGTGGCGAGAAAAGCACGCAGATCTAAAAATGCACTGGATGTGAACCCACAGATTTTCTCTAATAGCAATGATAGCGGATCTGATTCTGAATGAAACACACACACAATACAATTATTGAATGCCCATCCGCAGATGATGGCAGGTCCTGAAAGAACAGGCAGTGTTCCAGTGATGGGGAACAGAACTTCGAGTGGCGAGTGAGGTATACACACACACGCGCGTGCGCGGGCACACACCAAAGTATGAAGAAATAGAATCGACATCGTAGTATTCATTGGTTGGGGAATGGAAAGGAAAATAAAACATTGCTATAGGTTATTGTTGTAAGGACACTGGGAGCACAACAGAAAGGTAAGCAACTTGCTTTGAAGCAAAGAAAGTTATTATTCCACGGATCTCAGAAGGAAGGAACGTTCCAGAATGCTGCACTGGCAACAGGCGGCCTGCATGTGCGCGGCCCCTGCAGTCGGTCCAGCTGCCGGCCTTGCAGTGCTGAAAAGAATGTGCAGTACAGCATGTCACATAGTATCGCAGCCTGGACAAATAGACGCTGGGAAGTCCTAGTTATGTGCTCACCTACACCACGATGCACCAATCTTCTGAGCTACTTTGGCAACAATTTTGTCCACTTGAGACTCCCATGGGCTGAGCCAGTTGTTGAGGGCTGCATCAAGGTGGACGGCAATGACCGCTGATGGCAAGGCAATCCATGACACACAGTCACTAGGGCATCGTCAACATGGCGCTAAGGCTGGATGAATAAAATCAACCTTTAGGCTGCCGCGGGATTGACAACGAGGCCGCTGTCTCGAAGCTAGTCAGTCAGCCTGGTCACCGCCATTGACGAACCAGTCGCCACCGCCAGCAGTGGCGGTAGGTTGTGACAAGTATGGTGCAATATTGTCAGCAAATTCAGTACTCAGGATAAGATGAGTGACAAAGGGAACGTTGTGTTTGATAATATTGAAGTGAACAGGGATGATCACAAACCCTGCGCGTACTCCACCGTGAGTTACAAGAAAATTCCGGACTGGACGACGAGCAAACACCAACCTGCTACATCCAACCAGGCAGATACTATAACGATAGCTGCCAAACCAGGTCAATGCCGACCTACTGCATAATGTCAATGTCAAACAGATCCTGCAGGAGAAGACTGGGGTGTTGGCGTCCAGTCACTGAGTGTACAGACACCAGTCACATGTCCTGCGTCTTTTGCAGCATACAGGATAGACTCATCACTGTAAAGTCCACTACTTCGTGATTTTTATTTGTAGAATACATGACAGGCGTATTCAGTGTGCCTCGCAGGACTGCGAGATGCTGCAGAAGACCAGTTTCGACCTTTCTGGACCGCCATTCACCGACGGTGGGCTACACGATGCTGGTGGAACTAGATTCCAGTGAAAACCCAAGATTCCTTTGCTCCTGGACGCTCCGACGTGTTGTGATATCTGCCAGGTGCGCAGTAACTAGTATTTTCATCGCTATAGCGAGGACGACGCCGATCGGCAAACTCTCGCTCACAGCCATCACCAGCCTCTCAAAACCATCACTTGGCATCCCCCAGAGGTATAGGAGAAAGCCAAAACAGCTCTCAACAAATAAAAGCTAAGGACGATGGAAAGGGAGCATGTCAAAAAGAAGACGAACAGTATGAAGTTCAAATGGGTTTGAACACTCGTTCCACCAACTATACCACTTTCAATAAATCGTGACGCCATTTTGTTTTAACATGAATATCGCGGGTTTGGAAGCTTTGTTACAACTCTGAGTTTCATGTATTACTACGATCATCAGACAACTGATAGATCCAAAACGGGCAGCCAGAACATAAGGGGGAGCAAGGTGGGAAATTCTGAGGGTGTCATAGGCGACGCGTATCACAGCGCAAGAGTCAGGTGCAGGCGTGAAATAATTGCCAAGTCTTCAGACTTGGGGCTGTGCAGCAGTAGTTCCGGCGTGAATGAGAATAGAGCTGGGGACAAATGCCAAATCCACACATTCCCACACCACTACACAAACATACACCCACACTCTCTCCCTTTTCTCACATACACATGCACTCACACGCGCGTCCACACACACATTCTCTAAATCGCTCTCTCTCTAAATCGCTCTCTCTCTCACACACACACGCACACACAGTGGAATATTCCCGAGTGGAATATCTCCATCCAGCTCCGAAAAGCTATGAAGTACGTCAAGGAGAGGGAGAAGAGTGGGAGAGAGGGACGGCGCTGCTTGACGTTTGGGTCGTGGAATGTTCGCTCCCTTGTGGAAAGGAGTGGCGGCGTAGCTACGGCGAGCGTTTCTGGCCGAGTAGCAGAGGACAAGAAATGTCGTCGTGTTGCTGCCGAGCTGCGCAGGTTGAGCGTGGCGGCGGCTGGATTGCAGGAGACACACTGGTTCGGCGATGACATTTATGTCGTTGACGGTTTTACTATCTTGTGTTCGGGTCGCCCCGTGCCTGGCGATGGAGCTCCGGGCAACAGACGAGGAGAAGGAGTCGCCCTGGCACTCAATAAATTTGCAACAGACGCGTGGAAGAATGGTGGTTCGGTCTGGCGGGCTGTGGGCCCTCGTCTTGTCACTGCACGTCTCAAATTCGCCCTGCGTGGGGGAGAAGTCGCATGGGTGACGGTAGTCAGTGCGTATGCTCCGACTTATGCAGCTCCGCGTGCCAGCAAAAATCAGTTTTACGAACAGTTGCAGGAGGTAATAGCTGGCGTTCCTGACAGGGACTGCTGTATTCTGCTTGGAGACTTCAACGCCCGTGTGGGTTCAGGAACAGCTGACGATGGCTGGAGTGGTGTGCGCGGCATGCATGGTTTTGGACAGTTGAATTCCTCTGGAGATGAGCTACTGTCGTTTGCAGCAATAAATAATTTGTGGATCTGCAACACCTGGTTCCCCAAGCGGGATATCTTCAAGCGGACGTGGCAGCACCCCGGCTCTCTGCAGTGGCACTGCATCGACTATATCTTGATGCGTCAGGATCATCGGCGATTTTGCAGGGACGTGCGCGTTGTTCGTGGTGCTGAGTGTGGCAGTGACCACCAGCTGCTTTGTATAGTCTTTGAGTTCCCGCATCGCCCGGTGGGGGTTGCCCGACGTGGAGCGAGCCGGGGGCGCCGATTTAATGTCGGCAAGCTGCGGAGTAAGGCGGTGGCCGAGCATGATCAATCGGATTCCTGCGCATCCACGTTACAAGACGTCAACGATGTGGGACGTCGCCCCCCGCGCTGCGTGACCACCGCGGACAAGTATCGTGCCGCTTTATCTGCTGGATTGCGAGATTGCTGGAGCAGCGATGGTAGCGTTGGGGAGAAGTGGACCCATGTGCGCAATACCGTGGTTGCCACAGCCGCTGATGTATTGGGCCCGAGCGAACGCCGTCAGGCCGACTGGTATGATGACAACTCTGCAACCATACAGCCCCTTCTGCGCGCCCGCAATGAGTGCTACGCGGAGTGGCTTGCCCACGGTCAGCAGAGGGGCGACACGTATTGGGCCAGCTTCGGGGCTGCTCGATCGCAGGCGCGCGCAGCCGTTGTAAATGCCAAAGAGGCTTGGATTTTGAATAAGGCACAGGAGGCAACAGAGGCGCGCTTCAACGGGGCAGTCGTCTGGAAATGCGTTCATGCTATCCACGCTGCATGTGAGGGATTAACTCCGTGCAAGACTTCCGCCATTAAGGACGAGAATGGAAACCTGTGCCAGTCGACTGAGGATCAATGCAAGCGGTTCCAGAGGCATTTCACATCTGTCCTGAACCCAGAGAGCTCGTACAACCCCGATATCATGGCTTGCGTTGAGCAGCGACCTGTAGTGTCGAGCCTTGAGGAACCACCAACCATGCATGAGATCTCCAAGGCATTTCTCGACTTCGCAATGGCACCGCTGCTGGTTCATCGAGGATACAGCCAGAGTTGCTAAAGTTCGGTGGCGAGGAGCTCAACAACAAGCTCATGGAGCTGTTTGGAGATGTGTGGCGAGATGGCTGCGTTCCGCGGGAGTGGGCGGATGCTACCCTCATCCCCATTCCAAAGAAGGGAGATTTGTCGCAGTGCGACAATTGGCGGGGCATTGCGTTGCTGGATGTGGTCGGCAAGGTCTTGGCGAGTGTCCTTCAGAGAAGGCTGCAGGTATTCGCAGAGGAATTTCTCCCTGAGTCCCAGTGCGGGTTCCGGCGAGGGCGTGGCTGCTCTGACATGATCTTCACCGTCCGACAGCTCATGGAAAAGTCAATCGAACATCAGGCCAAGGGATTTTTTGTGTTTATCGACCTGAAGAAGGCCTTTGATTCAGTGCCCAGGGGGTGTCTGTGGCAGGTCCTCGGCCGTGCGGGAGTACCAGAAAAGCTTATCAACATCATCCGGTCGTTCCACGACCCCATGTCAGCATCGGTGCAGTTCAACAACATATTATCAGACCCGTTCAGCATTGGCAATGGTCTTCGCCAGGGGTGCTCTATGGCGCCGGTCCTTTTTAATATCTTTATGTGGGCCGTGATGACCCAGTGGCAACACCGCGTCAGGAGAGTTGACGGGGTTGGCTTCGAGCTCCGCTCAGCATACAGCAGCGATTTATACCGTAAACCCCGCCGTGACGACCAACACCATTGCCTAACAGATTCCCAGTTTGCTGACGACTCTTGTTTATTCGCTACAACTCGGTCTGGAGCGGGGGCAGCATTGTGCTGTCTTCACGAGGTGGCGTCGGGATTCGGCTTGACCATCAGTGCAACGAAGACTCAGTTTGTAGTTGTTGGCCCCGGCATCACGCTTACTGACCGCGCTCCCCTCCAACTTGGTCAAGCGGAGGTGGAATGCGTACCGCATTTCAAATACCTCGGTTCTGTAGTGGACAGCGGTTGCCGTTCGTCCCGGGACATCGCCGCAAGGATTGCCCAAGCCTCCAGGGCCTGCGGTGCTCTTCGGAGGTCTGTATTCTCCAATCCACATCTGCTGATGCACACCAAGCGGTGCGTATTCAATGCTTGCGTTCTGTCCCTGCTGTTGTATGGCTCTGAGTGCTGGACGCCCCTTCAGCATGACCTGCAGAAGCTCTCAACCTTCAGCATGAGGTGCATCCGATCCATCCTCGGGGTCTCTCGAAGCCGGATGTGGGACGAACACATCACCAACGAAGAGCTGCTGGTGCGCTGGGGAGACTCCGAGACGATTAAAGACAAAATTGCACATCGGCGGTTGGAGTGGTTGGGGCATGTGGCGCGGATGCCGGACAACCGCATCCCAAAACAGGTACTGTTTGGCTCCTTCTTGCAGCGTCGCCCAGCACATGGCCCACGCCGCAGATGGAAGGACTGTGCTGTCCGAGATCTACGTGCCCGTGGCGTGGAGGCATCATGGTATGATGTTGCATGTGAGTCTCGCGCGGAGTGGCGCAGCACCTACCAAGAGCCTGACAATGTGCCTGAGCCTCCGCCCCGAGTGGTATGTACGGTATGCGGACGGGATTTTGCACGGAAAGGAGACATGGCTCGGCATAAGTGTCTGGAGGAGCGTGCGCGGCCTGTGTCTGAGCAGCGGGGCGCCAGTCAGTGCGGGCGGTGTGGGCGGTGGCTGAGAAGCCGCGGTGGCTTGGTCCGGCATGTGTTTGCCTCAACGGTGGATGCCGCAGTGCCACCTGGAACTACCGGAGCGTCGGCACCGGCGGAGGGATGTTGTGCCGCGCATTGTGACAGGTGTGGTCGCTGCTTTCGCGGTGTCCGGGGACGGGGAAGGCATCGCTGTTCAAGGGTGGCGCATAGACCAACAGCAGAGGAGCGCTCAGCCTTCCAGCACGTGTGCATATGCGGCAAGCGGATGCGACTACCCGTGCACCTGGAGCGTCATCGAGCGTCGTGTCCTCTCTCTCTCTCTTCTCAAGTTTCCCAGTGATGGGATCACGTGACCCTTTTGCGGCAGTGACTCTACAGGACAGGACAGGACAGGTGTGTGTGTGTGTGTGTGTGTGTGTGTGTGTGTGTGTGTGTGTGTGTGTGTGTGTGTGTGTGTGTGTGTTTTGTGTATGTGCTGGAGGTGAGTGGAAGGAGATTTTTGAGCTCCGGTTTTTTTAGAAGTTTTCTTCCACGGGCTGGTCTCCAGCTCCGGCTGGGGCCAGCCCAGGTGAGTTATAGACTCACAGTAAGTAGAGTAGCTGTGCTGAGCGAGGCAGCCGTCATCTTGCTGCCGCGGACGAGGACAATTCAGCGTCGACAACATGGTCACCTCGGATATGACCACTCGCGCTGACCCTCGTCCGCCTGAGCGCGGAGGAGTTGCAAACCCCCGCTCAGAGCTTAGCTTGCAGCATGCACCAGCCGCTCGGAGGTTCGTGCTGTCTCTGGGAACCTGGAATGTGAGGACTCTTGTTGAGTCCGACGGCGACGTGAATACGGCTTCAAAATTTCAAAAAAAATCAAAACATTTGTTGCGGGAGGAGAAGAAAATTGACCTGGTTTGTCGGCAGCTTGGACGTTTCGGAGTGGACATCGCAGGTCTGCAGGAGACCCTTTGGTTCGGCACGGCTCAGTACAGCGTTGGCGACTCTCTCGTGTTGGCGAGTGGACGCCCTACTCCAACGGCGGATGACTCTGGACGTCGTGGTGAAGGTGTGGCGATAGTGCTGCGCGGAAAGTGCAAAGACGCCTTTGTCAGCGGCGGTTCGGAATGGAAAGGACACAGCTCGCGACTTGTCTCCGCGAAGGTAAAGTTCGAATGTGGTCGTAATCGTTCAGTATCTTGCATTCATATCGCTGTTGCGTATGCACCAACATTCAGTAGATCACGTGAGGAGAAAGCTGCGTTCTATGAAAGTTTGCAGTCCTTCCTTGATAGTGTACCCAGGAGTGACCAGTATGTCATACTCGGCGATTTCAATGCTCGTGTTGGTGTTGGTGCTGCTGGAGACGAGTGGAGCCGCGTAAGGGGTACACATGGACATGGCGTCATGAATTCTGCTGGAGAGGATTTACTAAACTTCCTGGCCAGAAACAGTGCGCTCATCTGCAACACCTGGTTCAAGAAGAAGGACATCCACAAGCACACGTGGCACCATCCCAGGTATGGGCAGCCTCATTGTATCGACTACTGCATTATTCCAGAGTCATGTCAGCGTCAATGTCTGGATTGTCAAGTTCTCCGCTCTGCGGAGTGTGACACCGACCATAAGTTCCTTGCCATGAGATACCGCTTGGCGGCGGTGCCCAGTTTCCGCAGGCAAAGTAAACCAGCCAACAAACCCATCGCTTCCGCAGTCCTAACGGCTCCCTCCAATGATGAAGTGCGAGCAAAATATTCCACTAGTCTTGATGCTGCCTTGGTTCAGAACTGGCCAGATGAGCTATCTGTGGACGGATGCTGGGCTGCGTTGAAAACTACGGTGGCGGACGTCGCTCAAAAATGCCTTGGCAGAGAGCGGCGCAAACAACCAGACTGGTTCCTGGACAATCGACCGAAGATTGAGGCTGCCCTCCGTGAGCGAGACGATTGCTACCGAGCCTGGATGTCGACCAACAGGGCAAGTGATCAGAAGCTGTATAAGAAGGCCCGAAGTTCAGCTCGCCGTATCGTTCGTCAAGCAAAGCAGGACTGGCTGAGAAAGCAGGCTCGGGACTGCGAACGCTTTAGTCTAACATCTAAGGGAGGCTGGGAGTGCATCAAGAGGATCCAGACTGCACTTGATGGATTGCAGCCCCGCAAGACAGCTGCTATCAAGAATGCGCAGGGTGTTGTGTGCGAGACACCAGAGGCAACAGGTACGCGATGGCGGGAGCATTTTGACGGTGTCCTAAACGTGATCAGTGATTTTGTCCCAGATGCCATTGATTCCATTGGGCAGCTACCGATTCGGCTTGACCTTGAGAACGCCCCAGCCTGCAGCGAGATACACCGTGCTATGCGAGCTCTTCAAAATGGCAAAGCATGTGGCCGATCAGAGATAACAGCGGAGATGCTCAAGTGCGGCTCTGAACTGGTGCCTAGGTTGGAGATGTTGTTGGCTGAAGTTTGGCGGACGGAAAGGGTTCCTCAGGATTGGGCAGACGCCATCTTAATCCCAATTCCCAAGAAAGGTGATCTTAGTGACTGTGGTAACTGGCGAGGCATCGCGCTTCTAGACGTGGTCGGCAAGCTGGTGGCAAGAATAATAGCGGATCGCCTGCAGCTGGTTGGAGAGGAATACCTGCCTGACTCCCAGTGTGGTTTTCGCCATGGTAGGGGATGCTCAGACATGGTGTTCTCAGTACGCCAGGTTGCCGAGAAATTGCATGAGCATTCATCAAAGGGCTTTGCGGTGTTCATTGACTTGCGCAAAGCATACGATTCAGTGCCTAGAGCAGCCATGTGGAGGGTTCTCTCCAGGCTCGGCATGCCGGATAAGCTGATCTCCATCATTCGGTCGTTCCATGAAGGCATGTCTGCATCCATTCGTCTCGGCGCAGATCTGCTCGACCCTTTCCAGGTGGGAAATGGCCTACGTCAGGGATGCACGATGGCCCCGATCCTGTTCAACTTATTCATGGGTGCGGTTGTGGAAAAGTGGCATGCTACCATCGCCAATGACGAGGATATCGGTATCCAGGTGTCGCAGTTTCGCAGAGACTGCTTGTTCAATACGCGTCTCAGAGAGTGTCGCAGGGTGACTATCACGGAGTGTCAGTTTGCGGACGATTCGTCACTGTTCGCCAAAACCTACGGCGGTGCTGAAAGGGCCTTGGCCACGTTTCGACAGGTTGCAGCATCTTTTGGCCTGTCAGTCAATCTGGGCAAAACTAAGTTCATGCCTATGGGCGTTGGTGTGGTGGCGTCGGATATGTTGCCTTTGGGTGGAACCGTCGAATGCGTGGACAGATTTCGCTATCTTGGCTGCCAGATCACTCCTGATGCTAGGAGTAGCTTTGATGTCTCTCGCAGGATCGGGTGCATTTGGCG